TCTACCTTTCCTAACATTATTGTCTTTTCCAACAATTCATGCCTTCTCATGATGTGTCCAAAGTACGACAGCCTAAGTCTTGTCATCTGGGCTTCTAGGGATTCCTCTGGCTTGATCTGCTCTAGGACCCCTTTGTTGGTCCTTTTGGCTCTCCATGGGATCCTCAGCACTCTTCTCTAGCCCCACATTCTCTCAAATGCATTGGTTTTCCTCCAAATTTCTTTCTTGACTGTCCAGCTAGGGATGGTTAGCTGGAAATCTTGCATTGAGCAGCGGGTTGAACTAGATTGCCCATGGGCCCCTTCCGATTTTATGATTCGATGACTCTATGGTTAGCATTCTGCTGACTTGCACACTTTTATGTTCCATTATGCATGTGGTTTTACTTTTTTGGCCACAGCATAATGTCCACATTCAGTTGAAGGCTGCAGAAGCACAGCTGAAGATGTGGTGCCATTGGACATATGGATGTTCATTGTGCACTGCCGTCTTGCACTTCACATTTGTTTGCACGCAAATGCATTGCAATTCACTAATGCACAATCATCATGTAGCTCCATGATTGTACAGTTGTAGGATCTCAGCCATTATTTCCTCATCCCTGTGTGCAAGCGTGTTGTCGGTGCATGTGTGAATCTGTTCATCCATTCCACCTTTTCAAACTTCCAAAAAAGAATGCCTGACCTCCTCAAGAACCCAGGAGCCCAAACCCTTCATACTTTGGATTGTTAAAGCATAAACATTTTGTTTAATGTGTAATCCAGACCTTGCAGGGCAGTGCCCAATATGGAAATCTTGCCTTTTGATAAACATCAGAGCACATATTTTAAAAAATAAAATAAAATCATCTGGCCTGGCTTAATCTTGGAGAGCACACACACTCCTCTTATTAATAAACAGGAGACGATCTTCCAGATAGTGGTCCTGGGAGTGTGAGGAGTGATTTCGGATGCCGTTTCCCCCAAGATGGCCTGAAACACAGGGCTGGCATGTCCCATGATGTCTGTCCAACTTCTTAATGACGTGTGTGTGTGTGTATTGTGTGCCTTCAAGTCATTTCTGACTTATGGCGACCCTAAGGCAAGCCTATCATAAGGTTCTCTTGGCATGTTTCATCTGTGGCTGAGAGAGTGTCACTTGCCCAAGGTCACCAGCGGGATTTGAATTCCAGATTCTAAGAAGATTATCAGATGGGGGGGAAACCGAGGAAGACAAAGGCATATTCCCGACAAAGTTGCACAATTGCGCTGAAGATTTTCAGATGACGTTACACTTATCTGGGACTTAACCCATGAAAATCCAGCAACAAACTATTCACGGGACTTCCCTATGAATAGTTTGTTGCTGGAGCTTTCCTGGATCTTCATGGGTTAAGTCCTGGATAAGCGTGATGGATCTGAAAATCTTCAGCATGATCATGCGACTTTGCTGGGAGTATGCTTTTTACTCCTGGCCTTCCCCCCAATCTGATAATCTCCATAGTCTAAGGCTCAGACCACTGCACCACACTGGTTCCTTACTGACGTACATATGCATAAGTGTGGCACAAGTGTACCTCTGTCTCTTTTTGCATGAAGCACAGAGGGAGCCTTTTGTACTCCATCCAAAATCTGCCCACTCCCTATCAGCTTCCAAGCCCTGAGAAGGTCTGCTCCTGCTGTTGCTTACCAGCTGGGAAAGAAAGGCAGAGGCATTTCAAACCAGGAAGATGTGGATGATCTGGGATCTGAGGGGAAATCACAGAATCATAGAGTTGGAAGAGACCCCCAAGGGCCATCTAGTCCAGCCCCTTGCCATGCAGGAACTCTCAGTCAAAGCATACCTGATAGATGGCCATCCAGCCTCTGTTTAAAGACCTCCCAAGAAGGAGACTCGTTTCACTGTTGAACAGCCCTTACTGCCATAAATGATCTTGCAAGTCCTCAGGTGCAAAGTGTCACTCCAGGGGCAGTTGCACAATTGTCAGTTGTGTGGTGTCAGTGTCCCCCTTTCCCCTGTCCCTCCTCAACCTCATTATTCTAAAGCACCCTTATTACCTACCGTACTTATTTCTTCTATTTCTTTTCTTCTATTTCTTTTTTTAACTTTTAAATACTCCAATCATGGCAGTAGAGCTTCAGAAATATATGGAAAAAGTATAAAAAAAATTACAAAACACCCCCCACCAAAACCCCTAAAGGCATGCTAGGTAGGATAAAAGGCAGAGAGGTTAAGGAAAAGTTAGGAAAAGAGGGTGATGTGGGCAGCAGCCCCAGTCCTGCAATTGAGAGAGGTGCAGGTGATGGCTGCCTTGAAAGTGGTATGTTCTTATTTTATTTTTATTAGTGTGACTACTGCAGAGTCCCAAGTTTTATCCTGTACAGCTGGCGGCTTGGACTTTTGTGGATTTGATTATTTGCAGTTTTGATTAATATGTTCTCTCTAGGAATCTCTTAAGTTCTCCAGTGCAACTCTGCCAGAAGTTGACCATAGAGTTGTGTTGGAGAACCTAGAAGTTCCTAGAGGAAACACTTCTCTAGGTATTTGTAGGTCCTCCAGCCTGATTCTATGATCAACGTCTGGCAGATGTTGACCACAGAGTTGCACTGGAGGTCCTGGAGATTCCTAGAGAGGTGTTCTCTCAGGTTAAAAGAATAGTGTTATTTTAATTTGGGGTTTTTCCATATTCACAGGGGTCCTTCACCCCAAACCCCAGCCATTGTGGAGAGACCACTGTATTTAAAGCAGAGGTCCAAGGTGCTGAATGAACCCTATCACTAGAATGGCTTAAGCACCTTGGATAGCTCCTTGAGCAGTCAGCTTAAAACCCCAGGGTGATTCACTCTATCCGCAGATGTGGGAGTCAAAAGTCTTGGAAAGGATGGGAGATGGAGTAGCGATGGTTGCAGGGTTTGCACTGGAGGGAGAAGGCCTTGGATCTGGGACCGTCAGTGGACTCTCCTTAAGACGGAAGAAGCAGCACGAGGGGACAGATGAATGCAAACTCTCATATTTGTCAGTAGAGGAGAGAAGGTCACATTAAATGGATGGTTCACATACAAGGCTCCCTCCCACCGTGCTTATATTGGAGGATTGTGCTCAGTGGTAAGAGGGCATTTTGAGGCTGGACAGGTTATCTGCTGTTATCTGGAGGAAGAAGAGAAAGGAGAAGGCATAAGAGGAGAAGGAGGAGAGGGAGAAGGAGAGGAAGAAAGGGAAGAAGGAAGATGAATAGGAAGAGGAGGAAGAAGACAAGAAGGAAAAGAGATAGAAGGAGAAGAAGGAGAAGAGAAAAGGTTATTACTTTTTGTCCATTTTTAAATCCGAGTTAAAGACCGCCTTGTTCAGGGAGGCATTCCCTGGCACTGTCTGATCTACATTTACTTTTTCTGTCATTTGGGTAGACAGTGGATGTTGCTAATTAATTGTTGTAATTGTTTTTTGTTTTAATTGACTTTTATTATTTTACCTATTGTTCTGTATTTTAGACTGTATGCATTTGGCAGGTTTTTACTCTATTTTATGTTTGATTGTCTCTTTGTACAGCGCTGTGTACATTGACAGCACTTTAGAAATAAATTTTAATAATAATAGTAGTAATAAGGGGAGAGAGGAAGAACAAGAAAAGGAAAGTGGAAGAGGAGGAAAAAGAAGACAGGAAGAGAAGTAGAAGGAAGAGGAGAAGAGAAAAGGGGAGAAAGGAAAATAAAGAAAAGGGAGGTGGAAGAAAAGGAGAAGAAGGAAGAAGAGGAGGAGGAGAGGTAGAAGGAGAAGAAGAAGAAGAGATAGGAGGAAGACAGGAAGAAGAAAAGGGAAAAGGAGAAGGAAGAGATGGAGTTGCCCAGCTACATGAATGTAAAGTTATGCTTCACCTGCTCAACGTCAGATTTTAGCAACAGTGTATGTATATATTAGTTGTTTTGGAATTTATTTATACTGGAGAATCTCTAATGTGATATTGGGGAACAAATAATAAAATAAAATAAAATGTAAAATGGCAACCCCTTAAGAGGTCATGTTGTAAAACGTAACATTCAATAGGGTCTTTTGTTGCCGATGTTCCTTCTCAGCTCAAAATCTTTAACGGACATACCACACTGTCCCAGGGATTTCTGAAAAACAAAAGCGATTAATCTCAAGAGAGTCATACTTTGGGGTTATTCCAAGGCTCTTGGCACTTCAGAGAGGACACGGCGAATCACTGTTTCCCCCGGAAGGCATCTTGGCAAGCCTAGCAATGCGATTTAGCTAAAAGGCTCCTTAGTGCCAGCAGGAGGAAGAAGCTGGGGGCAGATTTTGAGGTTTAGGAGAAAGAGCAAGGCTGATGCTTTAGCAATTGTGAATTCCTGGTCTGCATTGTTCCCAGAAGTTAGACTAGGATATAAAGCAGCATCTATAAGAAAGCTTTCTCACGGGTTTTACTCCAGGACGGAGGCCGGTAAATTTATTACGGTATTTTGCTGCTCGCCCCAAAGCAATTAGAAAAAGGAAAGAAGAACCAAAAATGTGAACGCAACAGGTCTCAATTCCCACATATATCCTTGCCCATATAATTCCAACGGAAAATATTGGTGGGTTGATTTCCTTTCCACTTTGGTTTGCACTTCTGAAAGTAACAAGGTGGATTCTATCAAAACTGGGGCTGTTCTTCTTTTAAACAACGAACCAATGGACATTTTCATGGATTAATGAATCAGTTCCATCTGCATGGCTTGGTATTCATATAAAATGAGTCGGGTCAAGGGAGGAAAATAAAGCCAGCTTCTGCTTCATGGAGGTTGTCAGGCATCCCATTTTGTATAGGGTGTCCCTTGTTTGGGGCTGAAAATACAGTTCCAGGTTGGTGGAATATAGTGTTGTGTTGTTGTTGTGTGCCTTTAAGTTGTTTCCAACTTATGGCAACCCTAATGTGAACCTGCCACAAGGTTTGTTTGGTAAGATGTGTTTAGAGGGGTTTTACTGTTGCCTTCCTCTGAGGATGAGAGAGTGTGACTTGCCCAAGGTCACCCCGTGAGTTTCCATACCAAGCAGGGATTTGAACTCCGGTCTCCAGAGTTGTAGTCCAACGCTTCAACCATTACACCACGCTGGATTTGCCTCCATGCTAGTAGGTAGAAAAAGACTTGGGGAAGTAGGAGGGAAAGCCTAAAACTTCCTGGAACTACCAAAACATTGTCTGAATCTCAAAAACAGAAACAGTAATTGTGTTTGTGTGTGTTCAAGTCACTGTATGTGGTCAACATAAGTCAACTGTTGACTTAAGATGACCGCATGAATTTCATAGGTTCCCCCCCCCCCCAGACAGAAGTGGTTTTGCCAGTTCCTTCTCTGAAATACATCCTCTAGCACCTGGGATTCATTGACGGTCTCCTCTCCAAGTACTAACCAGGGCTGACCCTACTTAGCTTCCAAGATCAGGCTTGATCTGGTGCCTTTAGGGTATTACAGGAGTGAAACCCATTATCTCTGAAGAAATTTGTCCAGTCTGTATGAACTTTTGCAAGGAGAATGCCTGGGCACAAAGTTATTCTCTTCCTTGCCAAGGAGATGGGTTGTAGAACCCAAAACTGTGCAACTGTTGCTCTTAAACACAACTATTCAAGGCACAGCAGCACTATCCTTTATTTCACCTGGCACCCCTAAAATGAACACAGATGATCTGCAGTACACACCATAACACCCCCAACTTCGAACAGCTCCTTTTTCACGGCTTTCGAAATCCCCACCTTTGGTGGCCCTTAGAAAGCCCTCCCTTGGTTTTGCAACCTGCCGTTTGACACCCAGCCCAGGTGGGTGAAGAAATTAAAAACACAACCCAGGTCCTTTAATACTACACTAGATGGGTCTGGAAACCCTCACCGCAACTGCGCTGTGCCAGTGTGGTTGCATCTGTGTGGGAGGCGAGATTGCGCGGTAGCACCATCGCACAACCCATGTCACAAACCTAATCGCGCTTGTCATTCTCTTGTGTCTCTAAATCCCTCGACTTAACAGTAGAGCCGTGCTACTTGAAAGGCACTTTCCCTCCCCTTCTTTTGAATTGAATGCTGACAGCTCCAACTCCTTAAATTGTCATCTTCACTAGAGAGCTGTCACTCAACCACCACAAAGAGCAAAGAAATATTCTCAGCTTGTTGGGAGCCTCTTTCTCTCTTTTTCTCATTAGTTCGAAGCATGTTCTACAGAGCAGGTGAGACAGATGCAACCCTTGCTTTTTGGCAGACCCGAAAGGTTGCCACAGTGAAAACAAGAGAGGCTCCTGTGCCTGTAATGGTTCTGTCCAAGAGGGAATTTTGGTAGGTGTTGCTTCTGTTACCTGGTTGACATCGGCTGAAATCCCTTTTTCTATGCAACCATTAAAGGTACCAGCACTGACTCCAGTTTTCTATCTGGCAACCCTATCCATTACCCCATCCTTAAAGAAAGAAAGAAAGAAAGAAAGAAAGAAAGAAAGAAAGAAGTTTGTAAAAAGTGCTGCCAGGTTTTCAAAATACAATAAGAGACAGCAGGGTTAGCAATAAAAAAAGAGGTATTAACACATTCGTGTTCTCCTAATACCAAATGGAAGTATTTATTGCATTTAACCCAACCATGTGTTTCTCTGTAAAGTCAACATGTTGTCCACATTCATGCAGTACCTGATGCATACATTTCTGTATATAGTCAGAGCCCGTACCCAAAACGACAGCGGGATTTTCTGGCAATTCATCCAGTCCGATCTGCAAATTGGAGACATCCTGTATAATAAGGGAGAGCTGGAAACTCTTATTCTTTCCAGGAGCTGCCCCTGAGAATATTACCTTTGTAATATAGAATTATAAACTCATAAATCAGATGGGAGAGAGCCTCCATGGTGCAACAGTTTGAGTGTTGGACTACAACTTTGGAGATGAGGATCCGATTCCCTGCTCTGCCATGAAACCACTGGGTGACTTTGGGCTTGCAAATGTTGAAAACATTCTGCAGTCATTACACATTTTCCACAGGAACCGGACACTCTGGTTGTTGTTGTTGTGTGCCTTCAAGTTGCTTTCAAATTATGGAAACCCTAAAGTGACTCTATCATGTGTTTTTTTCTCTGGCACGATTTGCTCAGAGGGGGGTTGACTTTGACTTCTTCTGAGGCTGAGAGAGTATGATATGCCTGAGGTAACCCAGTGAGTTTCAATGGCTGAGCAAGATGCCAGCATGGTGCACTTGTTTGACTGTGACTCTGGAGATCAGGGCTCAAAGAGTCATAGTCAAACAAGTGCACCATGCTGGCTCTTGGAGATGGTGGTTTTTGGAGATAAATGCCATTTTTAAAAATCATGCAACCTTTTTTCTATTTGTCTGCTAGCTCAGTTTCACAGTCACAACCTCGAATTCCCAAATGTGTGTTTCTTGGAAGAGGAAGAGGAGGAGATGGCCGGCAGGTGGCAGGTGTCTCCTAAATAAGGTGCACTCAAATGTCTTCACATTTTAAGGCTCTTTCAGTGTGGGTGAGTGATATTTTCCTTGAGGAAAGGCCCAGTTAGATCACTTAAGTAAGGACTCTGTCTCTCACACTGCTGCAGAGGTAAGTTTGAAAATCAGTAAAGAAAACTACTAAGAGAAACAAAAATGGCAAGCAGAAAACCCCAAATGATCACTGAGATCCTACATCAAGAAGACGGAGGGTAGCGTTACACTCATAGAGTTATGGGATTGTGCATTAGTGACTTGCATCACTATGCATTTGAATCTGCAAAGAAATGTGAAATGCATACTTGCAATGTGTAGTGTATGTGCAATGCACAATGTACAATGCAAATTTCTATGTGAAATGTACAACAATACCACATGTGCAACTCTGTTTCTTCACCTTTCAACTCAAGATAGATTTCTGCATCAGACCAAAATATCCAAGTGCTTCTGCAGAGGGATTTATGTGTGCGTTAAGTCACTCACAGAACACCGACCAAAACCATCCAGAGCAATTTCTGCAAACCCAGGATTGCTTTGGGCTTGAGTTTATTAAACAGAAGCTTCCTTGTGCCAGATTCTGATGGGAATTCTACTTTTTTTGAGCAAGCATTGCCAGAATGCCACAGCCAGCATGAACCCAAGTCATTTAACAGTGATGGTTTACCAGGTTTTATGACTGCAAACAGGGCTCTGTGCATCTGTGCAACTTTCATTTCCTCTGACCATGCGCAAAACACCATGCGTGAAACTCATGAGAGTTGTGCAAACTCTTTCTAATCCAACACGAAAACTTCCTACAATGCAAGGTATTTGACCTGCTTATGGGACTATTTCAGGGTTCCTTCCAGCCTTCATGACACATTTGCACCTTTAAAAACAAATATTGCTTTTTTACAGGGCTGTTTTCTCTTCCTGTCCCTCATCTGTCAAAGATGCCAGAGCATTATGCAAAGCTTCTCACGAAAATGTGCTCTTCTGTGCTCCTTCAAATTGAAGAGATGACTCACCCATCAGAGTCAGGGGACAGGAGAGGAGCAAATCTTGGGAACCTGAACGCATAGGATGGAGGAAAGCACAGACGAAGGACAGCATGGCAACATGGCTTGCGTGCTTCTTTGGTTTATATCTTATCTGTCTTCCATTGTGGGATTCAAAGTGGCTTGCAATATAAATTAAACTAGCTACAACAAGTACAAAAGTTTTATAAAAAACAGATTGTTTTACCCACAGGGGTAGCGGGGATAGTGGTGTTGGGGCATGGTGGTCTTGGAGTAACCACTGGTGGCCAATAATGTGGACAAAGGCGATGATGAGATCATGACTACCAGGCCAGCTTGGGTCCAAGTTGTCTGAAAGACCATGTCCTCCACTAAGAACATGCTCAAGTTTTAAGATCCGTAGAGAAGGGCTTTCTCTCTGTCCTACCCCCATCAAAGGCACTGAACCACTGAGAGTTCAAGGAACTTATGCATATGTAAAAAACCAACAGGAGTTTGGACATAGATAGGGGACCCTTTCAAACTGCAAAACTGTAGCCCTACAATCCCACTTTAATGTCCATGGCTGTATCCTAGCTAATCCTGGGATATGTAGTTAGGTGAAGTGCAAGAACTCTCTGGCTAAGAATTCTACACAACCTGCCCCGAACTAAAACTCCCAGAACTATAGGTAAAGTGCAACACAGAGCCTTTGTACAAAGCCTTCTGCTTTTGCAAAGTCAAAGCCATTTTGGCTCTTTGAGTGAAGTAAATCTCTGGGGCGTGTGTTTTTAATAATACCCAGGCGGTTCTTGGAAGCTAGAGGAAGCTGGTGCTAGGCTCTCCACCTTGTTGACATATTTTTAAAAACGTAGATTTTCAGGTGTTGTCAGGTATGGGATGGAATCACGTCTTCTCTGTTCTTTTTCTCTGCCTCCTCGCTTCCTCCTGACATGTACGCATGCATGCTGCGATGCCTCTAGTAATTTGTCTTTCTCTTGTATGTTTGCCATTGTGTTATCCAAGGCGCTACATTTCCAAAAAAGAGATGGAGATAACATTCCTTGAAGTTGTATTATCCCCCCCCCTCCAAAAAAAAAAATACCCATGTCATGGAAACAAAGCACATGCCTCTTTTCCTGCACAAACATGCTCAGAAGGAAGCTGCGTTTTGTAACAAAATGAAAAAGACAGAATATTCTTAGTGACTCCCTTTGCTTTCCAAAAGTTTGGAACCATGACATTGGCAATTCCAAGGAGGCATGATAAGCCATCCTTGCAGGGAGAGTTACATATTACTCTGGAAGGCTAAATAAAGGACAAGGGATTGTTTTCTCACCCCAGCAGGAGAAATCTGGAGAAGAAATGGGGCCAAAAAACAACAACATCCAGAGTCCAACAGAAAATCCTCACCCTGTCAAAGGCTTTCAATAGGAAAGGGAACCTAGTTGTTTTGGACATCAGGAGAACCGTCAGCAAGTTAAAGGACTTGTCTACATTAGCACTATACTCCAAATCCTTCCTGGATCCTCCGTATCTGCTAGGGTTTGGTTCCAGGATCCTCCATAGATAACAAATATCTGTGGATGCTCAAGTTCCATTGAATACAATGGCATAGGAAAAATGGTATCCCTTCTATAAAATTGCAAAAATCAAGGTTTGCTTTTTG